CTTCGCTTCCCCAAAAGAGGTGGGTCCATGTTACCCTGGGGCTAAGCACCCCACTCATCCCCATTGCCCCCGAAGGGCTCAAAGCAACACGCCAGCATCCACCCAAGCTCCATCCCAGTGGGTCTGTCCTTGCAGGAGAGCAGAGAGGTGCAGGGGTTTGCTGTGGACCTGCCAAGAAGCCTATTTGTGATGGCAAAGAAGAAGGAGGAGGAGGTGGTGGAGCACAGGGTGCTCCTGGTGGACATCAACAGCCAAGCCATGTTCCAGGTAATGCCCACACCATGTGGCACGATGGGTGTCCTGCATCCGTCCCTGCTTCAGAGAGGTGCTCCAAAGATTAACTGCAGCACAAAGGAGAGGCACAGGACCTCCCCTCTGGCACCTGTCCCTTCCTGTTGTGTTACCACTTCCTTCTGCAGGATGAGAACAGCAGCCACATCCTGGGTGACAAGGTGGTTGGCATCTCCCTGGTGAACACGGTGGTGGCCAACCTCTCCGAGCCAGTGGTTCTCACTTTCTTCCACAACCGGCTGCCGGTAGGTGGGGAAAGAGCCTCATTACACCCAATCCCTCCAGGAATAGAGAGTGAGGGCAAGGAGACTGTTAGATTGAAGAGTGATCGCCACCCAGTGGGTCCATGTCCTTCCCTGGTCTTCCTGTGGCATCTTCTGGGGCTTCACCACACAATCTCCAGGACTGGGAACACTGTCTAGCAGTTTCTCTGCTCATTCATTCAGCTGATCAAAGCTGAACCCCCCGTTTAAAGATGGGGCCTGGGGAGTCTCTACCCTAAGCCCACACAGGCCTGTCTGTCCCCTGCAGCCATCTCACCTCCTGCCTAATGTTGCCCCTACCAAACCTCATTCCCAGGCTGTGAGCCCTGCACAGCACCCGAGCATCTGTGGTTTTGTCATTTCAGAGGAATGTGACCCCACGGTGTGTCTTCTGGAGGGAGGATGGCACCGGTGAGTGTATCTCTGTTTGGGTGTGGAGTGCAGATGATGTCCCTGTTCCTTCAGCTAGGTACCAAAGATGTGCTGTTCTGCACCTCCCTGCCTTGCTCCAGCTCCATGAACCCTCCCCATGATGGGAGGATCCCAACCTCTGTCCTCCCCACTGCTATGGATGCTTTGGAAGCTCCAAAATCCCAAAGCTGCTGTTCCTGCTGCTCTCTCTTTCTCTTGCAGCCAGCTCTGGGAAGTGGGACAGCTATGGTTGCACGACAGTGGAGGGGGACACACGGACAGACTGCAGATGCAACCACCTCACCTACTTTGCCGTGCTGATGGTGGGTACCACCTTCCCTCAGCTCTCTCCGTCCTTCCCACTGTTCCCTCACTGTTTCTCATTCCTCTTTCTCCCCAGGTGTCATCTCCAGAGATTTCCTACCTGCACAGGGACTCCCTGAGCATCATCACGTACATAGGCTGCCTCATCTCAGCTTTGGCATCCATCTCCACCATCTTTTTTCTCTACTTCAGGTATGGGTTGGGTGCTCTCTTCCCACTGGGTGGCACAGCTAGAAGCACAGTGAAGGAGCCAGGTTGGGAGAAAGTAGAGTGCTCCTTTCCAGAAACCATTGCCTTCGCCAGGTTTCCTGCAGGGTGCTCAAAAACACCTGCAGTTTTCAATGACTGGGGAAATTCAGCTTGGTGATTGTCACGGATCTGGCAAACAGGAGCCAGCGTGACACCGCAGGGTGTTTTGGGGCACTGAGGATGCTGGCCAGGTGTGATGCTGAGTTCTCTTCCCCTCGGTTCTCCAGGAGCAAGCAGCGAGACCAGATCACAAGCATGCACATCCACATGAACCTGCTGGGTGCCATCTTCCTCCTGGACTTCACCTTCCTCATCTCGGAGCACTTGGCTTCCAGCAGCAGTCAGGCAGCCTGCAGAGCCGGGGGGCTTTTCCTGCACTTCTCCCTCCTCAGCTGCCTCACCTGGATGGGCATCGAGGGCTACAATCTCTACCGGCTTGTGATCGAAGTCTTCAACGCCTACCATGACCACTTCCTCCTCAAGCTCTGCCTGGTGGGCTGGGGTGAGGACTGGGGAGGCAGAGACCCCCGAGGGGCAGGGCAGTGGGGTCACCAGGCACATGGATTCTGCTCCTGAGTCTTTTCCACCATATGTGGTGCCTGGATAGAGGTGGAGACGTGTTGGAAGAGGTGTCTGAGAGCAGAGACACCCAGGGCTGTCCATACAGATGGGCTTGGGGCAGGAGATGTTCACACATCCTTGCTTTGCTTTGGAAAGGAGGGTATGGTAGGGCAATATTGTGATCTTTGGTGGCCTAAAATTCCAATGCCCTGTGAGATCCCCATGTGGGTCTGTGCATCACAAACCTGCTCCTCAGCCAGGGCTTACACCAGGGGTCCTCATTGCACGTTCCATCCTCCGTTCACCCCAAGGAGAGGAGGTTCTTCAAACACCATACAAGGAAAAAGGGGAAGGAGTTCTTCCAGAAGGTCTATGGGTCAGAGTTGAGGGTGGCTGCTTCATTCTGTTCTTGACACACAGGACTTCCCTTCTTTTGTGTGATGTTGATCTTCCTGGCTAATTGGACCAACTACGGCCCCTTCTACATTCCCGTCTATGAATCTGTTGGTGGAAGGTCCACCAATGCAACCATGTAAGTCAAAGGAAACTGGTCTTAAAGTCATCTGGTTGAGCCTCCACCACATCCTATAGGTTTTCCTTAGCCCACAGGCTGTGCCTTACCCGGGGCTTTGTAGGGTGGGATCCCCACTGCGTGTTTTACTGCGTGCTCCCCCCAAACGCTCTGCCTTGTGCCCCCGTGGGATCACACAGCATAACCCTCTGCCTTTCTCCTCCCTCTAGCTGCTGGCTCACGAGCCCCCTGATCCATAACGTGGTGAACCTGGGATTCTTCAGCGTGGTGTTCCTCTTCAACTTGGTCATGCTGGGGGCCATGGTCCGGGAGATCCTCCGGCAGAACAAGAAAGGTCACAAGCTCAAGCATGTGCTGGCCCTCTTTGGGCTGAGCATCCTTCTGGGCATTCCATGGGCACTGGTGTTCTTCTCCTTCACCTCCGGTGTTTTCCGCCTCGTCTCCCTCTACATCTTCACCATCGTCAACTCACTCCAAGGTGATCCTGGGGCACTGGGCTCCTCCAAAGGGCATGAGCTGCCCTGGGGCTCTGGGTGGGATAGGACAGGCAATGGGTGGGTATGAGAGGATCTGGCCCACTGGCAGACCAGTGCCTCACTCTCAGCTGCTGATGGTCCCTCAGAGGGATTCACCCACCTTTTCTCCCTCCTCTCCCAGGTTTTCTCATCTTTCTCTGGTACTGGACCATGGTGCTGCAGGCGAAAAAGTCTTCTGACTTCCAGTGCAGCTCTGACAGCGTGAAGCTACAGCCCAACAGCAGCCAGAGCCACCCCGGCTGAGCCCCGTGCTGGCCGTGCCGTGGGGCTGCCTGGCAGAGGGTGGTCGCTTCGCTACTGCACCCGCTGGGAGTTCAGGGACCCACGGCGGGGACCCTCAGCCCCTCGCCTCCGATGGCCCCATATTCCCCATCACTGCATCCCCCCGAGTATCTGGGTGTCCCCATCCCTGCCTGCCTGCTCCTGCAGGGACGGGACAGGGCAGAGGGATGCATAGGGCTGCGGCGTGGGGCAGGGACAGGGCCCTCTGTGCTTCCCGATGTCCCTTCCACTGCCCCAAGGCCAGCAAGTGGGAAAGACCCCGTCTCCAGCCCTTGCTTGTGGCCGCCGATAGGGCCCTTCCCAGGTGAAGACAGAATAACAGCCACGGGGACACCCTCTAGCAGCTGAAATAATCTATTTTTGTTATTTTGTTGAATGTTTCTCTATTTTTGTATGGTGTAAACGTTGAATGATTGCGCTCGCACGTCAGACCTGTGCCCATTAAAGTCATACCCTCTCTGAGTGTGTCTCCTCCGGGTCTCTGCTGCTGGTGAGCTGTCCTTTGGGGTCCCTCCTTTGGTCATGCCCATGGGTGGCACAGGCTTAGCTGACAGTGAAACACTCCAACGTATGCCTTGCTGTTCGTTGGCACAGTAGGGTTGGGCAGGATGGGGTGAGATGGGAAGGAAAAGCAAAAGCCTGGAGGTCGTTGGGGAGGCGAAGCAGCTCCGACCGCTAATCGTGGTTGGCATCAAGCTGAAGGCAGGAGTTTACATGGCAACCCACAGGAAGGGGGTTGCAGAAAGGAAATGAGGACACTGCGGTTGCCTCAGGAGAAGCTGTGAGCCCCTGGGGAGCCTGCAGAAGAGCAGGGCTGTGGGACGGGAGACCCTGGATGGAGCATGGAGCTCACACACCTGAGCACCGTTCTTCTGCTCCTGTTGTTCCCTGGTGAGTGCTGGCTGGGGGGGATGGGGCTGGGCGGCACTGGGACAGCCAGGAGGGGCTGGGGGATGTCCATGTGCTCGCTTCGAGATGGCACCCATCTCCCCCATCAGAGTGAGAGCTGATGCTGGGTTTTTCCCCCTGCAAGGCACCGTGCCAGGCCAGGCCAGCTGTGATGGTGAGACCCCAGCCCACTCACATCCCATCAGCTTCCATGCCACCACCGGGCTCTGACTGCTGCCTCCCACAGCGCTGTCTCGTGGAGACAAGACCAAGCAGTGCTGCAACATGGCGGTGGACCTGGAGGAACGTGGTGAGGGCCGTAGTCTGACCCTGGAGCTGCCCCACCAGTGCATGGAGCTGCGTCACTCAGGCCAGCCTGCCTGCCGCTGCCTGCGGGCACGCTGGCTCAGGTAGTGGGGCAGTGCTGCAGGGTGCTATGGGGCCATGGCAATGCCTTGGGCTGTGCACCCCATGGAGCTGTGGGGTGCTATGGGGCCATGGCAATGCCTTGGGCTGTGCCCCGTGGAACTGCAGGGTGCTATGGGGCCATGGCAATGCCTGGGCTGTGCCTCATGGAGCTGCGGGGTGCTATGGGGCCATGCAATGCCTTCATCTGTGCTCCATGGAGCTGCAGGGTGCTATGGGGCCATGCAATGCCTTGGGCTGTGCTCCATGGAGCTGCAGGGTGCTATGGGGCCATGGCAATGCCTTGGGCTGTGCCCCATGGAGCTGCGGGGTGCTACGGGGCCATGGCAATGCCTTGGGCTGTGCCCCATGGAGCTGCGGGGTGCTATGGGGCCATGGCAATGCCTTGGGCTGTGCCCAATGGAGCTGCGGGGTGCTACGGGGCCATGGCAATGCCTTCATCTGTGCCCCATGGAGCTGCAGGGTGCTATGGGGCCATGGCAATGCCTTGGGCTGTGCCCCATGGAGCTGCCCACCCTGCAGAATGGTGCAGTTTGCAGAACAGAACAGCACAGCCGGCCTGCGGGCGCTGCACCTGAATGTCAGCAGGGCCATGGCCCAAGGTCTGCTCCTCGCATTCTCCCCTGCTGAGGTGAGGGCCCCACGCGTGCTTTCATGTCCCCCACACTGGGCTTGTGGCAGCCCTGCTTGGCAGAACCCACACGGGCAGTGCTGAGCTCGTGCCTGCTCAGGGCCCCGCAGTGATCAGCTCAGCAGAGGAAGGGACAGCAGGCACCATCCGGCTCCCCAGCGGGGCGTTCCCAGCCCCGAGCAGCCAGGCAGTGCGCGTGGTGGTGACTGTGCTCAACATCCAGCAGCTCGCCATGTTCCAGGTACGAGCTCCCATTTCAGCCATTGGGACGTGGGAGACGCTTGTCGGCTCGGCTCAGCCGGCACCGCTCCGTGCAGGAGGACAAGCAGATGGGAAAGGTCCTGGACGACACCGTGGTGGGCATCGTGGTTGGGAATGGGGACGTCTCAGAGCTGCAGGACCCCGTGCAGCTCACCTTTGCCTACCAGCAGCTGCCACATGTAAGGCATGCCCTCCCCTCCTCAATGCCTCCTGGTGAGGTGCAGGTTCACACTACGTCCCTGTTTGCAGAATGTCACCCCGCTGTGTGTTTTCTGGGAGCCCAGCAAAGGTACGAGGCTCAGCAGGGCTTGGTGGGGCTGTGGGCAGGCTGCCTGCCGTGCTCCTGGCTGCCATCCTGCTATCAATAAGCATTGCAGCCCCCCAGCCTGTGCTCTGTGAGGCAGGATGCGGGTTTGGGCTGGCGCCCACCACTGTGGCCCTGTGCTGGTTGCAGGGCAGGCAGGAGGCTGGAGCAGCCACGGATGTGTCACACAGCCCAAGGACAAGGAGACAGTCTGCACTTGTGACCACCTCTCCTTCTTCACCCTCCTCCTGGTGACAGCCCCTCTCCTTACAGCTCCCACTCTTACCCCTGCTCAGGCCCTCACGTGTTACTGCTGGGTGCACAGGAACAGTTGTATTTGCTTCCAGGCGAGACCAATCCTGCCCTAACATCAACCCCAGCCCCATCTTTGTGTCCCCGAGGGCAGGAGCAGATCAGTGGAGGATGGGGAGGGTGGAAAGAGCTCTATTCTGGCAGCAGTGAGATTTGAGGTCTGTTCTCTCCCCACCCCAAGAGCAAGCACATCCCCTCAGAGCCACCACCACCACTTCTGCATTCCCTGGGGAACTTGGGGACAGACCTGCGGGTTCTGGGCTTGTAGAGGTCCCTGCAGCACTCTGCTGGGGGTATCCCCCCCTTGGCTCTGTGGCTTGGGCAGCAACAGCCAGCTTTTCCAGGCTGGTTTGGACCCATCTGACCACTCATGTTTGGCAGAACCCATCCCTGGACGGATCTACAGCACAGACGTTGGTGGCTGTGGCCAATGCTGGTTGTGGTGTGGCTGTGGCTTTCTCCATCTTCACTTTTGCCTTCTACATCTTCTTAAGGTGGGGTGTGCAAGCAGTTCCCCTGACCCTGAATGGGTTTGGGGAGGAATGTGGAGCAACCCCAGGCCTCGGGGAAGGGGTGCCCTTCTCCTCTTCCACTTGTCAGTGCCTGCTGTGACCCTCCACAGTATGTGGGTCCCTCCTCCACCCTTTCTGCTCCCTCCAGGTGCAGTTACAAACAGCTCAGGTCTGAGGACACCCTCCGCATCAACCTGGGGCTGCACATGAACCTGGTCAGCAGCCTGCTCCTGCTCAACCTGGCTTTCCTGCTCAGCAGTGGGCTCTCCAGCAGAGCACCTCCTGGGCTGTGCAGTGCCCTGGGGGGGCTCACCCACTACTGCCTGCTCTGCTGCTTCACCTGGACGGCGCTGGAGGGCTGTCACCTCTATCTCCTTTTTGTCAAGGTCCTTGGCACCTACATACACCACTACCTGCTGAAGCTGTGCATCGTTGGATGGGGTGAGCACAGGCTGCTGGGGAGTGAGGGTTACAGCCAGAGGGAACTGGGCTTTGCGGTGTTATGGGTGCCTGCAGAGACAGAGAACTCTGCTCTCCCTCATGCTGCTCTCTTTTGTTCTTCCAGGCTTCCCTGTTCTGGTGGTGGGGGTGGCAGGAGCCATTGGCAGCTATGGAAAACACAGCATTGGGACAGTGGACAACCAGACCATAATCGACCTGTGTGTGGCACACGCCTGCAGGATTTGGGCGGCCCTTTTGCCATGGGGAGGGGTTCCCATAGATGTATGGGGAGCAGAGCTACTGGAAGCATTGCAGTTGTTTCTTTCCAGGTGCTGGATCAATTCTGAGCACCTCCTCGTCCACTACATCACAAACTGCGGCTACTTCGGCCTCATCTTCCTCTTCAACACCATCATCTTCGGGGTGGTGGCCTGGAAGAACTGCCACCTGTGGAGGAGCGGGGTGATGCAGGGGCACTGCAAGGCCTGGAAGGTGGTCCTGGCAGCGATGGGTCTCTTCTGCCTGCTTGGAGCCACCTGGGCACTGTCCTTCCTCAGCTACGGCAGCTCTTCCATGCCCATGCTCGTCCTTGCTGCTATCCTCAACTCCCTCCAAGGTCAGGGCTGGCTCCCAGGGTCTGGCTGGGAAGGGGTGGGAGGTGGGAGGAAGCATGGCAGTGGTGGACAATGAATCCCAAGGCACAGTCATGCCCTTCCCTTCAGCAGGGAGAGGAGGGACCTGCCATGGAGCTCAGCCACTGATGCTGAGCCCTGGAGAGGCACTTGGAGGAGCCTCTCTCTCCCTGCTGCCGCCATGGTCTTCTTCCTTCCCCTGCAGGTGTTTTCATCTTCGTCTGGCTGGTTGTCCTCTACTACCCAAGGGCGGAGGAGACCAGCAGCTCCCTCTCCCACATCGTGAGGAACGACAGAACCATGGCTGTGTCACAGGGATAGCTGCTGGGCCTTCCCTCTCTGCCTGCCAGCTCCCAGCCCAAAGCACATGGCTTCCTGGGAGAGCAAGGCCTGCATGGGCGGCTGGGCACCCTGGCTGACCAGCGTGGCCCCTGCTCTCACCCACTCCTCATTTTACTCTTTGGGGGGTGTGATCTGCCCTAGCTGCCCTTTGGCTCCTGGGGGCCAGCTTGGTCCAAGGAGCTCCAGTCACCTCTCTCCCTTCTGCATGCCCTCGGAAGTCTCATTCCCCAGTGCCTCCTGCTGGAGCCTGCAAGCCAGCTGCATTCAGCCTACAGCGTTACCCCAGCACAAGAGAGGGAAATGGGCACTAGATCAGCCTGGAGATGCACAGCCAGCTGCACTCTGAGCTACACCATGCCCTCCACACTGTATGTGCATACACGCACATCAGCTCAGCCTCTCACAGAGAGCTGTTGTATTGGCCAATCTACGCCTGTGTTTTAGCATTAAAACTCTGCTAGCTAGCTAAGCATTATGGATTTCACTTTTGATGGTGACAAGTGAACAATATTTATAGTTTTCTCCACTTAGATGTATTGGTGAACCAAAATCTTTCTAGCAATTCACTGTCATGCAGGGAGAAGATATCTGTGTGGACACATGCATGCACACACACTTGTACATACAGAGCAGTCCTTTCACTGCTTATGCTATGCCATCTGTGGTTTCATGCTGTGTAATCAATGAATACACAGATGTTGTAATTAAGAAATATACAGGAAAGGTAGGCTAAACAGGTTATCACACTAAATAAGAAGGAATGGAAAGCTTACCTTTGTCCTTGGGCTCACTAAGAAGACTCCAAGAGGAGTGATCTCCACAAGAGATCCTTCCCCACTGGCAGTCAGCTCTTAAATGGGGTCTAGGAGAGGTGGAGCCAGGTTCCACCCCTTCCAGTAGCACAGAATTGCCTTCACCTGTGCTCTCGGGGCTGACTCAGTGCTCACTTCACGTGGTCAATCAGAGGCTCAGGCTGTGATTCAGCAATTCCCATGCAAAGCCCACATCTGGTGGGCACAGAGCTCCATCTCCCCACCTCCTTCCAAAACCAACCACCTGCCCAGCGTAAGAAGGACAAGAAGGACTTCAGGCTGCTCTGTTTGCTCTCTGGAAGCTCTATGCCAAGCCTGCAGGCAGGCCCTGCTACAGCTGGGTTGCTGGGTCTTGCAGAGCCCAGCAGCTGAGCCCTGTCCCATGAGAGGGTACTGGACCCCATGAGGCATCCCACCTCACCACCCCAGAGCAGCCCTTTCTGCTCAGCCCTCCTCAGTACTTGTTTCACCATGGGCCAGAAGAGCATGGGAACGTTCAAAAGATGCCCAGTGAACAGAAACACTCTGATGTGACTCATCCTTTGAGCAACATTTGAATTTCCTTCCTCTAAACCTCTGTAAAGACACAGAGAAGAGCCTCTCTGCCACTGCCACATTTATTTGAAACTGGCTATTTTCTACACCGTACGTCTTCTCACACTGACAGCTGCAGCAGCCACAGTGAGCACACCAAGAACACACAGCAGGATGAAGATCCCAGGGAGCCACAGGCTGGGTCCAACAAAGAGAAGAAAGGTTGGTTACTGGTCTGGGTCCCCCAAGCTGGCCCCAATGCTCCCCGGAGTGGCACACGTACCCTTCAGCTCCTTTTGGTCAGCCCTGGGATGATGGCTCTCCGCACTCAGGGAAGGAGCAGCCAGCAGGTGGATGGGTCCATAGGAGACAATTTTATTGTAGTCATCTGCCAGCGCCCGCTTGCTCCTCCAGAGAGTGGGACATTGCTGTTAACAGAATAAAAGGAAGGGAAGAGAGCAGGGAAGAAGCTCTCCTGTGGGGTCAGTGCCTGCCAGGGGGACAGGTTACCCTGGTGTTCTGCCCCAGCAGAGGCACAGCTGTGGTGCAGCCTAGGAGAATGGCTAGCCCCAGAACATGGGACAGGAGGTGGTTAACAAAGGAACTTTAACCTGCTTGTCCCCAAGTCACTCATAAGCACTCACCTTGGCACAGGGCTCAGGGCCGTCAGGGAGACACAGCCGGACACGGCAGTGCAGGAACACCTTGGGGTACCCGACAAACTGAAACATCTGGAAGCTGAACTTGGCTGTGGTGCTCTCTCCAATGGCATTCAAGTATGTCACTGTCTCATCATGGGGACACCTGGGGCGAAATAGCACAGTCAGCAGGCAAAAAAAAAAGAAGGATACCCCAGTTTGGGACAGCCACAGCAAGGAGACCAGAAATGCTCACCCCTGCTCAATGAGCTCATGTCGGACATCCTGGTAGGGGTCTGAGCTCGGTGTGGCCCAGCAGTCCTCCACACTCAGCAGGAAGTACCGGAGCTGGTGCTGCCCTTCTATCTTCAGCATGGCATACAGCGTGTCAGTGATGGGCACGGCCGCAGTCGGCAGCCGGTAGGGCTCCAGGTAGGATGGGGTCTTGTACAGCCTCATGCTGACGTTGAAGTGCCCTTCTCTGACCATGAACTGCACCAGCCTGTGAGGAGAGAAGAGAGCTCGTGAACTGCCACGTCAGGTCAGCAGGGCTGGCACAGGCTCTTCGTGTTTGCTGACCCCAGATCCCATATGGAGTTGGCCCAACTAGACATGGAGGTAGGAGAAAGGCAGATTACACGTGCCCCTAGCCAAGGCCCAAACCTTATTCTGAAAAACTACCACGGGACCCTCTTGGGGAAGAGAAAGAGAAGCACTGTGATATGATACTGCTCTCAGAGCTCTTTGGTGGCTCCCCAGGGCCTTTACAGATCATCTCATCAAAGGCATCTATTTTTCCACAAGCTTGAATACACCATCTCAGCAGCAAGGTGAAGAGAGACCACTCACTTGTCGACAGGGATGAGGGCAAATGGCACCTTCACCACCTGCTCATAGGCATAGACGCAGGAAAAATGCACCTCCAGCTGAAAGTTCCTGGAGATCACACCCCTGTGTGCTTCCCTCGCTGTCTCAATGATGTTGGAGTATGACACATGGGAGCTGTTTTGCTGGAATGACAAAGAAACCATACCTAAGCTCATGTACAGAGTACAGCACAGTCTAATGAATTGACGTACTGACTATAGGCAGGTCTGCAGAGCTCAGAGGATCCTGCCAGAAAGCTGAAGGCTCTTATCCTAAAGAGCACACGGAGACTTCCATGCTCCGCTGCACAAGATAAGATGTGCTGCCAGCAGTGGTTTGGTGGAGGCAGAAGAGCTTTCTAACAGCCCCCAGGGAAGCCTCTCAAGGGGAAAGAGAGCTTCACAGTGCCAGATAAAAAAGGAAAAGACTCCAGGGCTGTCCCCATTCACCATATTTCTTCTCTCTTGGCTTCAGAGCTATTCAGCACAGGCTCCGTGCTGGATCCTCACCTGAATTATTGATCCACAGGCAGTGTGGTTTTCACCTGTGAGAGTGGCTGCAAAAAACAGCTCACCCTCCTCTTCCCTTTCTGAAACCTTGCACGCCTGGTTCTTCAAGTGGACAAGTTCCCGGGGGATTTTCAGCAGTTCAAACACCTCCTTCCTCACCATCATCTTCATGTGCTCTTCCTCACAGGCCAACTTCAGGACCACATCTGGGGGAAAAAGCCATCTGCAATAGCAATAAGGAAGATGCCTGAAGGAGCCCTAAGTCAGCTATGGGATGACACAGTCCTATCGAGCCCAACAGACCCTCATCCCAACCTCATGGAAGGCTGCTGGTAGGGGTCTTCAGAGACACGGGGGAAAGCAAAAGACAAACCTTTGGAAATGAGCTGAATTTACTGAGGATCTGACATTTACTGCTAATTGCCTAAGCCTGCACAAGTCTGCAACTGCTGCTACTTTGAATGGACACAGTCATCAAGCTAAGACATCACAGGCAGATGTCACAGGTCTGGCTCCCTCTGGGGGAGGACTGTCTTTAGAATTCTGCAGTCCGCCAAGGGAACCAGGCAGGAACACCACCCTGCCCATCACCTTTCCCTTTGGTGCCTGTGGGCAAACTGAGCTTGCCAGCACCCCAGGCTGTACCTTGGCAGAACGCCCCTGTGAAGCCAGGTTTGCAGCTGCAGATGGGTCTGTCCTCTATCACCTGGCAGCCCCCATGGTGCTGGCATGGGTTGGGCATGCAGGCGTCTGAGCTCCTCTTGGCACGCAGGGCAAACCTTCCTGTAGAGCTGTGAGGGCTTGCCAGCTCACCTGCAGGGAAGGCAATGCAAGCAAGCTGAAATGCAGCAGGAACATCTAACCTTCGAGAGAATGAGAGCAAGCTCACCCCACTGCTCACAAGGGCTGAAGAGGCTCTGACCTCTTCTTTCCATCTCCCCATCTATAACTGCACAGGGCAGCTTACAAGGAGACTCACTCTTGTTGCCTTCGCAGCCAGCCAGGCGCAGGGCAGAGAACAGCAGCAAATATGTCACAGTCCCTTCCTGTAAGAACAATCAGGCTCTGGGTAATGCAGGTTTTCAGCAGGTCCTCATTGCAGAGGTGTTGGCAATCACTCAGAGCCAGCCCTCAAACATGGGTACAATAATTTCTATATTGTATTTCCTCCAAAAACTGTAGGTTCAATGGTATGAAGTAATTTCCTATCCCAAAGGGCCAAAACAGCAATCCTCTCAGCCCAGGCTCCCATAAGTGAAAAGGAATTTCCCTCTAACCTTTCCAATCATAGTTCTAATGTGAAGATTTGGGTCTTATGAGGCTGTGCTTGCCTTTCCAGTAACCCACATCCACAACAGGAGAGACAATGGGATTAAAAGAAAAGAATCAAACCTTGAACATAACTAAAATTTATGTCATGAAGACACAGATAAAGTCAACCTCCGAGCCTGGGTCAGATAACATGTTTCCTTAGAGAAATTAATGACGTGGTGCAGGATAAGCCCAGGACCCTTATCAGAACTGTGGATATGAGTCACCTGGGGCTGCTGGCTGCATATGTCCCCACAGCAGGGCAGTGCCAAAGACAAAAGCTTTGGACTGCCACACTCTGGTCTAGCAGCAAATTGTTTATTCCCTCATCCCTACCCTGAGCATCTGCAACCAGAAATCTCGGCAAGGAGGACGCAAAGCCCTGGGGATGTAGAGCCCCATCTGCAAAGCCCCAAAGCACAGTCCTCTAGCTTCAGTGGAAACCTGGCTCCTGCTGCTGCCAGAACTATGCTGACAGCAAGTGCAGGGCTGTTCCCAACTTGGCACAACTGCCTTGGGCAGCTCTGCAAACCTTCTCTCAGATGTGCCACCCATGGCTGCAGCAGCCTCAACAAAAAGCTCCTAGCTGCTCTCATCGTGCCCACCAGCCCAAGGACTGCATACATCCTCAACACAAAGCTTCCACCTCTCTTATCCTACTCACCATTGCCAGACCAATCCACACTTGCCCACCCGCAGCCAGCTGGGTCCTTCTCGTGCTCCCAGCTGCCTGCCTTATATCACCTCCCAGCAGCCCATTGCTCCCCCACGCAAACACGCTGCCTCTGCGA